TAATTCGCTACAACTGTCCGACTACAATCCTGTTGGGGATAAGACACCAGACAACTCCACACACTCCTTATTCACTCTCACACGCTCTAATTACGTTGCCTAGAACAAAACCAAGATGGCGAGAAGCTCAAATGGAAAACACACAGTTTTTAGCTCAAACCAGAGTGAATGCCAGAATGAGACTGAGTAAGTGCACAAGGCCCCACGCATCCTATCCCCCCCACACACCTCAAGGCGCTGTCCCATGCCTCTTGCATGATAATGCGGCATACGCCGCCTATCCTATTCCGCGCGCAATATAAATTATTCCAACAACGTAAATATCGCCGAACATCCCGCCCGCCTTCGTCGTACTGACGAACCAAAACGAGCTACGGTTGACTGGTTGTCTCAACCGTCACTATCGTCGAACCTGAGGGGGCACAGGCGCGCAATGTGTCGCTGGCGCAAAGAGGTGCTGGTCTTGACGGTGACCACTCGCACCAACCCGTCAGGGCCAGGGTGCAACTCGGTGACCCTGCCCAATGGCCATTTTGAGGGAGGGTACCGATCATCCCTTATCAGTACCAGCTGCCCGACTCGGAAGTTCTCGGATGGATTCCTCCATTTCTCTCGACCCTGTAAATGCGACAAGTACTCGCTCGACCACCGCTTCCAAAAATTATTGCGGACGCGCTGAAGAAGTTGAAATCTATTTAACCGGTTCTCCGGCAAAGTAGATAACTCGGCGTCCTGAATCAAAGCAGACACTCCCTCATTGAGGAAGTGAGAGGGAGTGAGCACTTGCAGATCGTCTGGGTCCGAACTTAGCGGGCCCAATGGACGAGAATTAAGGCAAGCCTCGATTTCCACGAGAACGGTGGAAAGCTCCTCAAAGGTGAGCGTATGTTCACCCACAACTCTTTTTAAATGGTGCTTGACCGACTTGACACCTGCCTCCCACAGCCCACCATAATGCGGGGCATTGGGAGGAATGAAAATCCAGTTCGTTCCGTCGTTAGCGAGGAGAGATGCAGCCCTATGATAAAAGTCCGAAGCCCGGCGGAACATAGCCTTAAGCTCCTTATCGGCCCCTTGAAAATTGGTAGCATTGTCACTATAAAGATTCCGGCAAATACCCCGTCTTCCTACGAACCGACGGTATGCACAGAGGAAAGATTCCGAGGTTAGGTCGCTAACCAGCTCGAGGTGGATAGCACGAGTAGCGAAGCAGACAAACAAAGCGATGTATCCTTTACCGGATCGGGTTCCACGACCCTTTGACATCCGCACTTGTACAGGACCCGCATAATCAAGGCCAGAATTGGCGAAAGCCCTACTCCCTACCACTCAATCCACGGGTAACTCACCCATAAGTTGGTGAGCCAGCTGAGGCTTAGCCCTTTGGCAAGGCATACAAGCTCGAATAACTGATTTGATCAACCGATTCCTGCCTAAGACCCATACTTGCGACATCAGATAACCCAATGTTAAAGCCGGACCCCCATGGAGGCACTGGTGGTGTGCGTGCCACACAAATAGTCGACTAAAATGCGAGTGCTGAGACAAGACTCATGTTCCGGAGTCCATCAAGACTCGGATGTTTCCGATCTAAAGCTAGATGAGAACGTGTCAACCGGCCTCCCACCCGTAAGAGACCATCCCCCTTACCCATGAAGGGGTTCAATGTGCTAAGCCGATTACCTTTCGGCAATCTCTTCCCTGCTTTCAAGAGTCCGATCTTTGTCGAAAAGGCGGTTGCCTGGGCTAGGCGAATGACCAGTATTCATGCGTCGGAAATCTCAGCACTGGTCAGAAAATGAGACGAAGACCCTACCACTAGTGAGCAGTCGCTCCACAACCGGACGATGGGCCGCCTGCAATATGCGACAAATCGAAGAAGCCTGATTAACGAAGAGAACCGAGTCAGGATGTCGGACTCATTCGAGCTGTAGCGGCCATGGTTCACTCGAACCGTTTTAATAAAACGTGGCCACTGGACGGGAGGCCTGGCCAGCCATGAAGGGCTGTGCCACCATAGGGCACTCTTGGCTAACTCTTCCGGTGCTACTCCTCGCGATGCCAAATCGGCAGGATTCTCCTTGCTCGGGACATGTGACCATGAGGCCGATGGTAGCTGAGTCTGAATAAGGGAGACACGGTTGGCTACAAAGGTTTTCCAGTGGCACGGATTCTTACGAAGCCAAGTAAGCACAATCTGGCTATCTGACCAGGCAAAAATTGGGCGTTTCTGTAAGAAATCCAAACTCGTTAGATGACGGATAAGCTTAACGAGAAGAGCTGCTCCGCAAAGTTCTAAATTAGGAATACTCACAGTCTTTACAGGAGCTACCTTAGATTTTGAAGCTAATAGCGACACCTGAAACTTCCCATCACCCGTACTCGCGTACGCGCGCGAAGACGCATCAGAGAAGCCATGAATCTGGTAGGAAGAGCTCGAAGTGCCACCTAACCAGCGCCCTACGGATAAACTCGGCAAGGAAACCAAACCTTGGCAACATTCATACCAACGCTCACGAAGCTCCGACGGTAAGGATGAGTCCCAATCACACTTCAAAAGCAACATATCTTGCATTAATATTTTGGCAACAACCGTAACCGAGGAGAGCCATCCTAATGGGTCGAATAGGCGAGCGATATTCGACAAAACGGACCTTTTGGTGTGGGCGGCAGCCAAATCTGCTACGCTAGCCGCATTGAACCTAAATTCGTCCTGTTCCGGGACCCATCGAACTCCTAACGTTTTGACTGTCTGATCACTTTCTATGTGTTTCTCCACGCCCGGTCGTGCAGAATCTGGAAGAACCTCTATAGAATTAGCCGCCTATTTATCTAGCTGGATGCCAGCAGAATCTAATAACTTAACCAGTTCATCCCTCTTTCTAACCGCCGTCGGTATGTCGTCCGCACCAGCAAAAGTGTCGTTTACATACGTCTTCGACTCCAAGCACCGAGACCCCAATGGGTACCGCGAACCCTCATCCCGTACCAACTGCGACAGAGTACAAATCGCCAGGTAGGGAGCGCAAGCTATGCCATAAGTGACAGTATTCAAACGAAATTCCACCGGTTCCGATGCTCCGTCGGGCGACCAGATAATCCGCTGGTAATCCTGATGTTCCGGCTCCACTCGAATCTGACGAAACATCTTTACAAGGTCAGCCGTGAATGCCACTCTGTACCTACGCCAATTGAGCAAGATTAAAGAAAGATCACTCTGTAATGGAGGGCCTGTAAGTAAAAAGGAATTTACCGAGTGTCCGTCCCTTGTACGCCGAGAAGCATCGAATACCACCCTTAGTTCCCACCTGGATTCATCCTGCTGCACCACGGCATGGTGAGGTAAGTACCATGCCTCTCGGCGCAGGACCTCCGACCTCGGGACTCGTGACATGTGGCCTAGCTCCTCGTACACCCTCATGAAGTCACAGTACGCTTGAGCCAATCGTGAATCCCGTGCAAACCTACGGTGCAAACAAGCGAGAGAGCTAAAGGCCATCCGTTTGTCTCCGCGGCCACTGGGAGAAGCTCCTGCTTCAGCGGTAGCCGCACCACGTACCGGCCTCTCCAATCCCTCCGATGCGTTTCCTGAAAAATTAGCTCACATTTCTCCCCCTCTGGCTTCAATCTCTTAGGTGCGTCCGACACCTCCTCCAGCTCCCAAAACCGCTGCAAAATGTGATTCAACTCCTCCTGAGGCGAACAGTGCAAAACCAGCGCAGAAGAGGTAGTAACTGTCGCCTCCGTCCGCCGTGCAGCTCCTCCATCCACCGGTCCGGAGATGATCCACCCAAGCGCCATGTCCTGCGCGACGAGCTGCGACGTCGAGGATCTTCTCAACCCCGGCCGGAGTAATTGGCCGTAAACATCGGCATCTAAAATTACGTCAATCCGCTTCGAGACGACAAACTCTGGATCAGCTAACGAGATGTCCTTGAACAGGTCTCCGCCATCCCTGGAAGCATAATTGACAGATGAAAGCAGAGAAGTTAGTTTTGGTAACACCAAAGCATCCACCTCGACCTGGAAGGTGGTATCGACCGCCGACCTGATAGTAACTCGAACCCCCGACCGGGCTGTACCCACGTCTCCTGCCCCAAGTCCTGAAAGAGGCACATAAGTACGCCGCTTAGGCAATCAGAGTAACTGCGTGATCGTTTCGGAAATAAAGAAAACCTCCGATCCTTGATCTAGAAGCGCTCGTCCCCATGTTCCCGTCCCTTAGTACCTGCTACCCAAACTCGTGCAGTAGCAAGCAGAATACTCCTAACGCTACCCGAGGACGTAGCCGCATGCAAACTCACTGACAACGCACCAGTCTAATTAATTCCCGAACCTCCCGCAACCTTCTGGGAACGGGTTTCTGCATTCCTACTCTACTGGGCGTATGGATAAGCGTATGGTGCATGTCCTTGCATGCGGAACAGCGCCCCCTACAGGGACAAGACTTCACCAAATGCTACCTGAGACAATTAGAACACAAGCCCAAACGCCCACCCTCTCGTATCCGCTCCGGTACCGCCATTGACCTGAACCGATCACACCCTGTCACCTGGTGTGGACCAAAACAAAGTGGACACTGGACACCACTTCCAACCCCCTTAGTCGTGATCCCCGGACCCCTCGAATGGTGAACCTTGCGAGGGAGACCTAATCTAGGAGGAGGGGCTACCCTTTTTTCCCCTCGTTTTTCCCCCTGCACCGCACAAACCCGCGTCCAATTCTCGAGAAATCCGACCAATTCCGCGAACGTGGGCATAAAGCAGGGCCCAGGAGCGCCTCTCCTTCCTGACTCCGATCCTGAAGCTCTGCTCAACCCCTCCATCGAGATGAGTTCTGCATTCCACGAGTTGCGCGTGTCCACATTCAATCGCGTAACCAGCAAGAAATAAAGTATACTATCCTTGCTGTCTACCGGCCAACCCGCATTCTTCAAAGACCTAACGATACACTGCAATCTATCAAGGAGTGAACGCAGCTCCGCGATGGACTCCCTCCTAAGACGCGGAAGATCCAACAATGCCTGAAGTTTGTTGAACAGATTGAGCATCGGATTATAATACCGTGCTTTTAACGCCTCCCAAGTGCTAGCATAATTCGCAGTGCTAGTCGACACATCTTTAATCCATCCTGCAGCCTCACCGACTAGGCACGATTTCAGATATCGCAACTTGGTGGTATCGTCCAGTCGCGGCGCATCGTGCACCATGGACCTAAAACTGTCGAAAAAGTTCTCCTCGCCCGAAAACTTCGGCAGAGACATCTTTGGGAGCTGCGAATAATTCGGATCTAATCCGGACCCMTGGGGGTTGGAAGATTCCCTTGTGGGCGATGGCGCCTCCGCTTGGATAAGCTGTCGACGCAACGCTACAAACGCACGAAAGGCTTCATCATATGCCTCACGGATTTTCTCTATTTCATCTTCTATCATATACGGGTCGCTCACGGCGTCCGATCTGACTGCGGTCTCTTCGTGGGTCTGCCGCACCGCCGCAAATACCGTAGCCAACGCATCTATTCCCGGCTGAATCAGATCGACCTCGAGGGACGCAAGCGGTCTAGCCACTAACCGACGATGGATACTTTTAAGCTCGGCGAGCCGCGTCCTCTGCAGGGCAACCAACTTATTCAAAGCAGCAGGAGGCATGATTGGCGAATCTAAAGAATCAAAACTGAGTAACTAAATGTAGCGACAACTAGCACTGAGGGCTGCTGTCTTATCCCCACTCTTGCTCTCCGAAACGGTAGGCGTGGGAGAGGGGAAAGAGCAGAACGCGCGTGCAAGAAGACACGGATCTTTAACCCCTAACCAAGGAAACGCGGTGCTATGACGCCCCACCGTGGTCCCACTCTCAGAACCCCCACTACTCACTGTTTGCGTCCCGACCAACGGACCTAACGCTCAGCCTAAGTCTCAAACCGGAAGGAGGAACCCGTGCGGCCGGAAATAAAGCGCAAACCACGTGGAGGGAACAGTGCGGCCGGAAGTAAAGACCTAATACGTGGCACGTCTCGAATCCAAACGCACCACGTGATCCCCGCGGACAAAGAACGATGACGCAACACTCAGACAAAGCCACAAAGAAGTCCACGACAAAAAACAGAGGAACAAAGACGCAAGCGTTTTCCGATTTTACTAATTTATCAATCCAACCTATCACTCATTCCTCACCCGAGGCACCAATGTTTATAGCATTTATATAGGTGACCAAAAAATGGTCGACTATCTCCCAATGAGTTCTACTAAACAGTTTAACGCTGGAATGAGTGAGATAGGAC